CTCGGCTTTGAGGGTGTTCTACGTGTCACGACGTGAGGGGGCGGTCATATATGGTACAAACAGTAGTCAATAGTTTGATAAAGATCTTAGTATGTATTTAACTACGAGCTACTACGACTTTGATTCTGTATTGTTAAGTAAATTTGTATGATTTATGACTCTATTTCTCATCATATCATGGTTGTAGAATTTTATTCTTATGACTATGATATGACTCATATCTTGATTCTGAAATATTCCTTATTCTCGAATCGGGTCGTGACAAGGTGGTATCAGAGCCCAGGTATTAGATTCTTTGGGTAGAACTTGTGAAGTTGTGCAAAGGAATTGGAAATAGGCTTGAATTTTAGAGTTGTAACAATATAGGTTTTGAGGGTCTTTATAAATTTTTGAGGAAAATCCAGTAATCATTAGTACACAAGTACATTTAAAATTAGATCGGTTATTGATGTATGCAAGTACTTCTATTTCAGGAAAAGCGATCGTTAGCGTATTTATAGATTTACGTATTATAGTTATCAATATGCCCGAGGTTTTCTAGTTTTAAAATTAGAATGTATTATACAAGGTTTTATAGTACTTAACTCACAAATTTGAAGGAAATGAGAGCAATGAATTTGAAGATGTTGGGAAAATTAGATGATGGTTAAAATTTTGTGAGGATTGAATCTTTTTTTTCAAAATTAGTGTGGTGTTGCATGGGAATGATCACTATAGGCTTGACTTGAAGGGTAGTGTAAGTAATGTAAATCATTGTTGTTTTTACGAGTTTAAGTGGTTATCGGATACATATATACAAGTTTAAGAATTTAAATTCGTCAATTTTAGCATTAGTCAAATTTGATTTGGTTTGGATTTTTTACTTAAAGATTGGAGAGTGGCTGGATATACAAGGAATAAGTTGAAGAGTTGAAATGTTAATTGATTATGTTGAATATGTTTAAGTATTGTTAAAGCCAAAGGTTGTGATATTTTGGAAACACGTGCTAGTAGATTGTCATATGAGTATTGGAAAAAAAGTATATGTGGTGATTACTTTGGACAATAATGTTAATAATTGAAGTAGCATTGTGCAATAACTAGACTATCCATAGAGACGTATGGAAAATTATGGACAATAGCATTGTTGTAATATATATGGTGGTTTGAGATTTCAAGGAAGATTGTGTGTACCATTGTTGGACGATTCCGAGGGATAGATATTGAATAAAGTTCACCGCTCTCAGTATACAGTACTTACGAGGATCACTAAGTTATATAAGGACTTGAAAAAATAATGGTGTAATTAGATTCGGTTACAAATGATTAAGTTGAAACGATTGATAGTTATTATATCAAAGTGAATGATGATAATTGAATTAGAATGTTGAAATTAAACTGCTGATACTTTTGAGTCTCGTGCAGGTTTTAATTAAGTTTCTTGGATGTGTGATTTCGAAGGATGGAGGTTCAATGGATACTCCCAAATTGGAAGCAGTGTTGAATTAAAGTTAGAATACTATGATGATTGAGATCCGTAGTTTCCTGGAATTGGCTAAATATTGTATATGGTGAGTTAGCCTATGAAGTCTAATTTTGGTGTTACTTAGCATAGAGAATGGAAGAAAATTTTGACAAATATTGAGTATGATTTGGAAATTTTATTTGAGAATTATTGCTAAGCCTAAAAAACTGTGGTTTTAGCTGAGTAAAAATCGGTATTAAACATGGAAAACGGTGTCGATAATTATAGAGTACATGTGTTGCATGAAACAATTAGGCTTTGGAGAGGGAGTTTGATTAATACTTTTGGAGATGCAAATGACTTGAATGTGACTAGTGTGGAAGTGGAGGTTATAATCACAGACTCTTAAACTGGATGTGTTTTCAGTGTAGCCGTCCTACTTAAAAATGATCTTGTTTGTTGTGTTCTAATTTTGAATTTAAAGACTTGGTAGTGTTGTTTCCAATTTTCTTGATATACCAAATATGAAGTCTACACTTCCTTGAATGTGACTTTGGTAGAAGTAGTGTGATCCAGTCTCCAACACCATTACTTTGCATTCCATATCCTCCAAGTACTGCAACCACATAGTTCTAAAATTGCATACCAATTACTTACTAATTACTGTAATTTACTTACTTTTAATTTTACTCTTTTCTGAAAAGTTGAACTTAATTTTTGTTAAAGTTCATAACTTCTATCTGCTTGGTTGTGGGAATCTGAAAGGTGAGTGAAGTTTGCACTTCTCCAATTCTATGGTTGTGTTGTGTTTCTCTTATTTAGTGTTGGATAATATGCTGCTGTTGGACAAAAGACCAAGCACTTAATCTTTTACCCGTAACCCATCTTTTTCTTTTTTTTTTTTCTTTTTTTTTTTTTTTTTTTTTTTTTTTTTTTTTCTTTTTAAATTTAAATTCTTTTTGCTGAAAACACATGAGTACCATATTCCTTGAGTCCTTGAATATCCAATCTATATGTTTTGTGTTGTCATGGGAAATAGGCCATGCGTGTGTTTACTTGATTAGTGGCCTAGAGACAATAGAGTGACTTCTATAATTATCTTGATTGTATATCTCACTATTACATTATTTTGGCTTGTTAAGCAGTTTCCTACGCTATGGAAGTGGTTCTAATGAAGCAAAGTGTTGGTTCAACCTGCTGTTAAATGCAGGGGAAAAGTGGTGATGATGAAGGTCGCTGTATACATATGGAGAACTTGACTTGAAGGATAATTAGGTATTGGAATTTTGGTGTATTATTGTAATTAGGCTTGCAGCTAGCGTCCCTAGAGTACTTTCATTTTTTAGATTTTATTTTGTTCTATTGTACTCTAGATATTCTATTTATGAAAGAAATTTTTTTTGAGTATATATGTGTGGCGTGGGTAATAGCATATTTGAGTACATATTTATGATACCATAGACAAGAAGAAAAAAAAGAGGGCACTAAAATGTAAAATTACTATGTCAATTTTACAGTTAATAGACGATGGTTTTGTTGAAAAAACCGTCATGTTAGAGATAATAGATGACAGTACTTCAAGAAACCATCGTCTACACAATTAATAGACGACGGTTTTGTAACAAACCCGACGTCTTTGGATATAATAGACGACAGTTCTTTCAGAAAAAAGTCGTCTTTACATGTAATAGATGACAGTTCTTTCAAAACCTGTTGTCTTTACATCTAATAGACGACAGTTATTTCAAAAAAACTGTCGTCTTTACGTCTAATAGATGACGATTTTGAGTAAAAGCGTCGTCTTTACAAATAAAAGACAATGGGGATTTACCGTCGTGGTTTTATGCATCAAAAGATATCGGTCGATTTCACGACGGTTGAAAAATCGGATACACGACGGTGGATTACCGTCGTCTATTGCGATTTTTGTAGTAGTGTTAGTTCAGTGTGGGTGGTACTGTTATGATTCTTCATAAAGGAATGAAATTATTTTAGATTTGGGGATGATCCATAAACAAAGATGCATGTGGAAAAGAAAATGGAGTTAATAATGCTAAGTTGAAATTTCTTGTAAATACTTAAGAAAGAAATATTGATATTAATGACATTTAAGTTTGGAAGATTCTAGTTGATTAAAGTTACGAAATGGAACATTTTTTTAGGGGGCAAATGATAACACCCTAGTTCAGGGGGCATTGCTGTAATTTATGTACTTTTATTTTTTGTTGCTATGAATATTTACATATATAGATATGAAAGGATTACAAGCTTTGTGGTCAAAGGAATGCTTACAAATTTCTTTTTAAGTGACTATGAAATGGGATTATAAGGTAACTTTGGAGGATCTGTGCATGGTTTTTAGAGATATGAAAACAACTTAATGTGGGCATTGCAATCAAATCATTTTGAAAACACTGGTGATCACTTATCAAATATTTTGTATCAAAGTTGAAAGTTCAGCTCTTGAGGTATAAGAACATGTTGATGGTATATATGAATTAAATAGGCTTTGAAATATGTATGACTAAGTCCTTGACAGGTTAAGGTTTTTGAAGATCGATAGGTGCTAGGAATGAATTTGAAACTTGCCAAGTATTATAATGTACATTCTTGTGTCTTGAGATAGAGAGTATGGTATATCTAAAATCTAAGTTGTACGTTAAGTGATCAGATTAAAGAGATCATGAAACATACATATGGAGGATTTCAGAGATATAATGATTCAGAGGAAAAAGAATGCTTGCGGAATTGAGAGTATGAAATGAGAACCAGACAACCCAATTCATACGAGGAGTAAGTACTTAAATTTGAGGATGAATTTTCTTTTAAGGAGGGTAGGATGTAATACCCCAAAAAAACAATTAAAAGTGGACTTTCGTATTTCAATGGGAAAAAAAAAAATTATTATGGTGAAGAATAATTTGACGGCTCTATTTCTAGTTTCAAGCTTACGAATTTGATTTTGAGTTAGTCACCAACGGCAATGATTAATTCCCTTAAGCTAGAAACATTGTGAACTGGGTAAATATTAAATCAATTAATTTTGAGTCTTGGATCAAATTACCATTAGTGGTAATTAATTTCCAATTTGTCAAAATAACTTTGGGTGATTGATTTAATTTTACCCCACTTGTTTTTGAATACTATGGACTATTCTTCATTTTTAGAAAATAAGGCCCATACACTATTTGTAGAGAAAGCCCGATAGTCAATGGGGCTAGCACGCATAATTTAGGCCCAAACAATGCCCCCTTAAGTCTAAATCGTTTTGTTAAAAATGATCTTCAAACTTAATGATAAACCCATTTAATGATGCGCGCCATTTTGTTCCATTACTTTAGCTCACATCTGTTCATTGATTGGATGTTTTGGGAAAGTGGGTATTAACGGCTACGTAATTCTGGGCATCTCTTCTCCTCCCACAATCTCCTTCCTTCATATTATAAAACTGATTTCTTCATTGTTTGACGAAATCATCAAACCTAAGTTCTTTAAACTCTCGATTAATCCCAAAATTTCTTGACTTTCTTGAAAATTTTCAAACCTCTCCTCAATTATGCCTGAAATTTACGATGGCCTCCCAAAAACTCGTGCTAGAAGCTCTTCTTCTTCATTCCCTCCTCCTCATATCTCAGGTGAAGGTGTCGACAAACATGCTATTGAGATTAGAAGCAAGCTTCATCCATATTCTAAGAAGAATTTGGATGCAAATATCCTTCATTTGCTTGGAAATGCTCTCGTTCTGGGTCCTGTCTGGTTTAGGAAAGTTCTTGAGGATATGGCCAAGCTTTTTAAGGAAGATGTCGAAGTTCCACTCTGCCATTGTAATCATTCTCTAACATTTCATTCCTGGGTCATCAAGAATATGAGCAAATCATACCCTTCTAGTGAAGGGATGAATAGTTGTGTGAAGTGGTCAGACTGGATTGACCGACTCTCTCTCCAAGGTATGAATGCCATTGGAAGAAAGATGGTATTTATGATGCTTTAATTTTTTCCAAGCACTCAATTAATAGAGATGAAAACCTGCTAACTGCTGCTATGAGTTTTTGGTATTCTTCTACAAACACTTTCGACTTTTGTGTTGGTCCTAGGATATATTCCATTCTAAAACTCCTGTATTTCATCACGTTCAGTGTACTTCTTCTCCTGCAAGCAAGGATTAAAATATCAGTCGTGCAGATAATATCGGGCCTCCAATTTACAGATATTTCGGGGGATATATCGTTATCGTTTTAGGTATCAGGAAAAAATCAACAAAAAGGACAGATATCGGCATTGAAACACATAATTTTGGTGTAAAACTTTCATAGATGTTATGTACATTATCAATGAATGGATTGAACAAATAAAACTCAAAATTTACTAATAATAAGATATACATTGATGAAATATAAGCGGTATGTAATGCGCATTAATGAAAAGTTTGAAAATAAAATTTTGATTAGAATGAATAAACCATGCATAAATTCATAGTTTGTTTAAACATTGGATTACAATTTAGATAAGTGTTCACCTACATAAATGAAGAGCTCCTATGAGGTTCAAACAATGAGGAACAACCATCCAGATTCATACAATAGTCATACCAAGTCATGTAACCTGAGTAGTTTGTAAGTCACGTTAGAACATGGTGCACATAAGTCTCTCTCGAGCTCCCTACTGTCTTCCCATTTATAGGATATTTAGGATTAACCCAACTAGTAGGTCCATAATTTGTTTCATCATCTTGAACTCCATAACTAGTTCCACTATAATCAGACATGACATAACCATAGCCATAATAAAATTCATTTGAGTTAGTAATAGGTCTAGTTCCTATGATCATAGATCCAAAATTGATCGCCATGTCCTCTTCAGATGGATTGGAGGTATGTGGGCAGTGGACTGTGCATAGATTCTTCATAGTAATAAATTATAGGGTTTTGGGCAAGGATTAGCAATTTTTGGGTTTCAATTTGCTTCAATTGTCTTCAAAACTTCTGAATTTTTGTTGGGTTCTATTATGGGTATCGGAAAATATCGGGGATATTGGCAAAATATCAAGAATATCGCACTTATCGGGGGATATATCGTCGATACATGGGAAGATATGGCCTTACCCCCCAATATCAGTGTCGATAGTTGAAAATACCGATATATCGATAGATATATCGATGTATCGGCCGATATTTCAATCCTTGTCTGCAAGCACCTACACATATATCTTGGTGTCATTACACTTAATGACTTGATACCTCGTTATTCTCTACATATAGAAAAGATATTGTGTGTACTGGTCTTGGCGGAATATCAATGTCCAATTGATACTCCTATGACCTGGAACATGTTTAGAATTAGGGATCATGATAAGTTTCGGTGTATGCAATCTCATTATATAGTTTTCATATCCACTTATATATTCCTAAGACTTTAGTTATTTCGTATTTCATAATATAACATGATTATGAATTAAAACAATTGGTTTTGCCCATAAATAACTTAAATAAGTGATTACATAAGATTTCCTTAACAGTAACTATTACATAATTAGTTGAATTTAAGGGCATATTTTTAACACAAACAACTAAAAATCCATATTTTCTTCAAACCTTAGCAAGAGAAAGGTATAGGTTTTTACTAGAAGATATTAGAGGTCATATGATTATATTAGTGTTGAGGCTCAAAAAATTCACGGTTGGGCCCGAATAAATTTCCAGCCCAGTACGACACATAACTTGGGAAGAAACCCAATTTGGGTACCCAAGAGTTCATCATATACGCTTGCACACGTGCCACGCCAAGCAAATAAGCAACACGCCATGCTACAAGCTTAAGTAGGCCCAAGCTACGCGAATACTTGGGGCTTACTGAGCGGGTTGTGGTATGGATGGTTACGAGTTTTCATGAGGCCTATTGATGAGCCGAGAAATGGAAGTTTTGGGCTGCTTGGGAGCCTCGAAACTCAAGCTCATTTCTTGAGCCCAAATATGTGGGTAAGCATAAAGGAGATAAAATAGCCCATTACTTTAGAAAAGATAGCCCATCACTTTGGGAAGTTGGGCCATCCTTTTAGTGAACTAGCCCATTACCTTAAAAAATGGCCCAAGTGACCAACAAAATAACTGAAAGTCTCCAGCACATGGCTAGAGACAAAACCATGACAAAAGCCAAAAGCCACTCACATCTGCAAGCTGCTGGAATCTCCAGCACATGGCCAAACACAAACCCAACGCAATCCATCAGAAAAACCAAGGGATACTTGAGCAAAACACCCTTCAAACCAGTGTACATACCCATTTCTTTCCCCCATCAAATCTAGCCATAGAAGAGGGGGAGAAAAGAAGGAAGAAAGATGGCTGAAAATAGAGTCTCCCACTGAAACAGCTGCGGGAAAGGGGCCTTGAGCTCTCAAAAATCCTTGATTTTGTGCAAATGGGCAGAGTGGATTTCACCAAAATAGGATGATTAAAGGGATGAGGGGAGAAATGAAGGGAAAGACTTGGCCAAAATGAGATAGAAACCATTAGGATTTCTTGGAAAAGAGTAGCTTCCAGCGCCTATAAAAAGAGGCATTTCCTACCCATCATCACAACCCACATCTAGAGAGCAAGCCTCATCTTATCTCTGAAACTCTGCAATTTCGTGCTCAGTTCATCTTCCTCCTCTTTAGTTTTCCCTCTTGGCAAACTGTTCTAACACTTGACAAAGTCTCTGTCAAGCTACCGGAAAAACACCCATTGCCTTCATCTCTCTATCCCCCTCTTTCTCCTCAACGAATCCCCTTAGAATCCCTTCCCCCATGCCTTAAAAACTCTGTTTCTCATAAGAAATCGCAACCATTTCTCTCTCTCATGCTAAACTCATGAATGCTTAGCTCCCATGCCACAAGCTTTTCATGCCAAGTCAAGAATTTATCTGTAAGCTGTTGTTATTTTTGTTGGTGAAGGTGACCAAGGTGTTTCCTAAGGCTTCACTATCCTTTCGAAGCATTCTTGGGGTTTGATCTTTGAACTCAGGCTCAAGGGGCAATTTTATCCATTTTGCTATTTACGGCAGCCTAGGCCCGTAGTAGCTGCCGGAAGAAAAAAGCCCCTACAATTAGAATATGAGAAAAACACACCTCTTCAGTTATATATCCAAGCATTTCTTTTTAATTTGAAAAATAATCTACAACATGGTATCAAAATTATTACTAAAAGTTGTTCTCATTATACTATTTATTTAGTTAGTATTAACGTGGTAGACTATAGAGAACTACATTTAGAGCATAACTAGAAAACCTATTCAATTACTCCAAAATTATTAGCATTAACACAGTAGAATATAGAGAACTACATTTAGAGCATAAGCAGAAAACCTACTCAATTACTCCAAGATTATTAGCAGTGTATGGTTACTTAAGTCAACTTTATGTTGAAAGTAGAGATCGCTTGTCTTAATTTTCTTCCAAACTAAAAGAAGTAATAGATTTTGATCTCCCTCTTTGGAAAAATGTAAAATTAGATTTCACTAATATACTTCCAGAATGGTTTAAAGATAATTTTTACCTATATTGAGCATGACACAATATAATTATTTCTCATGATGAGTTGCTTAGTTCCAATAAGCAAGATATTAAAGAATACAAATGAGCAATATTAGCTAAGATAATGACAACTCATACTGGAACGGCTTGGGAGAAGAAGCAATACATAAGATAGACAATATGATGGAAGCATAATGAAGCCATAGCAGCATATGCATGAAGTTCATGTGAAGAGAACATCCTAGCAACAATCCAAATATATAGAAAGCAAGAAGAAGTTATCCAATTCTTTGGCTCCATATGGCAAGTAAGAAGCAAGACTTTTGGCACCATATGAAAATAAGGAGGACTCATTAAGCAGTCTAAAAGTAAATAAAGGCATTTTTGTCCAACCACTACAAAATACATATGCATACGTCCTTTTGAATGAATATAGCCTCGAATGGGCTGAATCCTAATGACCCGTTTGGTTCATGGGAAAGGAGGCTTGGAGATGTGAAATCAATTGCTTTCCCATGTTTGGTAAGTTCAGACATGAGAAATAATTGTCTGGCACATGGGAAAGTAGGAGGGAAAGTGAAGCCTTCCTCCCAACTTAGGTTTTGTTTTCCTCATCATGGGAAAGTTTGGGAAAATGAGCCAACATTCAATGAACATTTTCCATGACCATTTTGTCCCCATTAACAGTTTAAAATTACAGTATATCATTAAATGTACCCTTTTTTTATTTGATTTAATATGGGTAGAATTGGAAAATTATACAAACTTTGTTTTCCATTTCTACTCAAAACAACATGGGAAATGAAATAAAATGAAATCTCCTAGTTACTTTTCCGACATTACCAGACGTGGGAAATGATTTTCGTTGAAATCCAGCGGGCTAAAAGCCCAGTACGACACTCAACCGGCTAGTAAAAACGAAAGGAAAGGAAACAGAGCAAGGTTTTAGAGGGTTTTAACTTTTGACAACAGACGTCTTCCCTTCCCTTTGTCTGTGTGTTAAGTCTTAACAAACTAGAACCCTTCAACAAGGCATCGGCCATGGGCGTTGCACAAGACTCCTCGGCCAACCCTCCAAAGAACAACAAGCAAAAGTATACTCTCTCTCTCTCTCTCTCTCTCTCTATATATATATATATATATATCTTGTAAAAATTGTTATTTGTTGATTATCAATTACAGTTTCTGGCAAGCGTTTAGGGCTCTTGGTGTGATTCTAATTTTCGATCTCTTACTATTCAAATTAGGTCTAATGATGGAAAGCAAATTCCTCATTCGGCCATTGATAAGGAATTCCTTGCCGCTCCTATCAAATCTGCCACGGACAAGTTCGCACTTCTGCCGGAGTTTCTAAAGGTTTGAATATTGTCAGATATTTATTTCTAAATATTGGTATTGTTGTTATTGCCATCGTTGCTATTGTTATTATTTGCATTCGGTAGTTTAAAAGAATTCATATATAGGTGAGAGGGCTGGTAAAGCAACATTTGGACTCGTTTAATTACTTTGTGAACACGGGAATCAAGAAAATTGTTCGTGCCAATGATCGGATTGTGTCTGGCGTCGATCCAAGTATTTATCTCAGGTTGAGCACTTCTTTTTATTGATTTTTCTTATGGTTCGTATTTCCCTGTTTTAGTAGGAATAAATTTTCCTGGTTGTGTGATTGTGCTTGCTTAGTTGGTAATCTTATCTCTAATGTCATTGCTTGAACTTCAGTGATGAAATTTCATCAGGAAAATACATACAAATGAAACAATTAAAATGTATGTAAGCTGTTTCCAAGATCTTCTATTCAGTCTATTGACTTGTAAAGGAACATTCTAAAATAGAAGAAAAGCTACTGAAACCCCAAATCATTCAATTTCGTAAAAAACTAACATTCTAGCTTATTGGGAATGAGGAATCCCCAGACTTATTGGCAATTGGAGCACTATTAGAGTTGGAAGTCTATAAAGTCACGGGAAAGATGTGCACAAGGGAAATTTCCCTATCTGCGAAGTCTCCTAAAACCAAATCTGTTCCCATTTTCCCACCAGTAACCAGAGAAAGGCAAGAAAGAGCTAAAACCCAGAGACATGTCTTTCCAGGCTTGTTTTAATTTCTGTTAAATTGTATCAGAAATCTGGAAAGTGAATATTACCCTATATAAAGGCTGTTTAAAGGGTTTGAACGTTTCAGGCAGTTTAATATATACTTGTCCTTTTTGTGAAGAACATTTCAGGCAGTTTAATATCCACTTTTCCTTTGGTGCAGGTTTAAAGATATTTCTATTGGTGAGCCCTCGCTTACAATGGATGGTGTTACTGAAAAGATTGCTCCCCATACATGCCGCTTATCTGATATGACGTAAGATCTGTTTGATAGACTTCTCATTTAATTTGTACTGGATTGCACTTTATTAATCACAGTGGTGCGATTTGTGATTTTGTACTTTTGGTTTGTCCAATTTAATAAAAGTTACTTATTCGTTTCCCTGTTTTTATTCTCCTTTGGGTTCCATTTGGATGAAGTGATTTTAAATCTAGGGATTTAGATGACTTTATAAGGTTAATTTGTTTGTTTAGACTAGTGCAATCTATGTATGCTAAGATTTGAATAAGAATATGGATTCCAATGACTACTTGCATATAATCATTTCAAATGTATTACATCTAGTTATTTCAAATACATTCAATCTTATGTTTTATAGTTATTATTATTATTTTTATTACAGCACATTTTGCTTTCTTGTCCAAATCCTGTCTTTCAAGTACCTTCATCCAAACGGAGCCTTGGTTTTGCATCATGTAAACCTTGTGTAGCTGTGTCACATCCTGAATATTACTTAAATGTATAATGAAATAGAAAAGAGACTAAACTGTACTGAGGTCTTGAAATTTATTGTTGGCTTAAACAAAAATTATACCATGAAATATTAGGTGTGTTATGATTCTCTATATGGAGTTCCAAATTTGTAGGTTTTTTTGTGAACTTTATTCTTAAAGAATTTTTTTTTAATAAAAATTAATCTTGTTTGCGGTGATTTCTTATCCCTTTTTCTTTAATTTCAGATTAGTCGAAAATTGATTTTTGTGTCTGACAATTTCTCAAGCTGTAATTGTTCTTGAAATTTTTTTCTTTCTAGTGACAATGGTTGTTTTTTCTTTTTCTTTTTAAAAATTAGCGAAGGACATGGTCCTTGCAACTTTTAAAGTTTTTTTTTTACTGCGTTGAACTTTGAAGCTCATGACCTTATGTGATGGTTTTCCACAGCTATTTATCATCTGTGTGTTCTTGGGCATAAATGTTGGTTGGGCTGCTATATTTACAGCTGAACTTTTTTTTCAGATAGATGTATGTGCACAGATGATTTAGGATTGTTGCAGTGCACTCCCTGTCCCATGTTTGTGTGTTTTTTTTTAATGATAAATTTATTTATTTTTACTTTAAAAAAGAGAAATTATGAACTTTTTGCATTTGTTGGCTGCGCTTCTCTGGGCCTCTATTATTGATGAAGTCTTTCTTTGTTTGCTATGCGTAGGGCATTATTGTTTGTAGACTGCACTCCATGGTCTTGAACAGTATTCAGTGTCATTCATGCATATTAATTAGTCAGTGGGTAATAATTGTCATTCAATCATAATAAGGATATTAACAGTTTAATATGGTATTGGAGTCCTATTGAAATCTCCCCCAAGTCACTGGGTTCCTCCTGAATGCCAAAATATCCTTGCAAAATGGCTAATCAGATAACTTGGTTTTTATTTTTTGATTTCATTTTTTTCCAAAGAATTCCACCTGATTATTAGATGAGAAAGGGGCCTCAGCTTCTTATTTGTCTGGTTGTTTATTTAAAAAAAAACACAAGCCAGATGATGTCATTTGGGATGGGTACGAGTTTAAAACAAAAAGCTGGCATGGTGTAAGCTTTTGAAATATTCCTCTTGGTCAGTATGGGTCGTATCCTTTAAAACTTGCATTGTTTGAGTATATAGTATTTTATCGGTATCTTGTGGTAAACCTTTTTCTCTTCTGTTTGCAATTTAGACAATAATTGTCTGAAATACAAATCTCATGCCTATTTTTCACTTCCATGCACATAACTGAACCATATTGAATTTGATTTCTGTAAATTATAGGTATTCTGCTCCAATAAAAGTCGATGTAGAGTACATTCAAGGAAGTCATGATCAAAAGACTAGAGTGGAGATAGGTATTTAGAATATTGTTTGTAGACAGATTTGTTTGAAAACATGTATTTGGATATAATATGAAGTTTTTTTTTTTTGTGTTTGTTTTGCAGAAAGGTCGGAAAGGATGCCTATTATGCCTACGGAGTTGCTCCTGGACCCTATATGGGAAAACCGAATCTGAACTTGCCAAACTTGGTTTGTGCAGAACAAAATAAAACTCACTTTGTTTCTTGCCCCCATTTTTCATCTCCATGCTTTGTTTCTGCTCTATAATGAATGTGCATGTCTGTAGGTGAGTGCCCCCTCGACCCTGGAGGATACTTCATAATCAAGGGAAATGAGAAGGTAATATTCTATCTGCCATAATCTGTTACTTTTCAATAAATGGGATGGTAACTGAACCATAATCTGTTACTTTATTATTATTTTTTATTTTTTATCCATTAAAAATAAAACAGTTGATGAAATAGCTGGGGCCCATGAATTTTGATTCCCTTCCATTTTTGAGCTATTTTGCCCGCACACACTCACACCCACACACACACACACACACACACACACACACATATATATATGTATATGTATATATTGTTACATTGGAAGGGATCAAACCCTTGACCTATCATAATTCTTATCCTTTTCCCCATCCTCTCTCACCACTTGAGCTAACCCCAAGGTTCTTATACATTTTGAGGAACAGTTCAATTTGCATTTTTTTAGGCACCTTCGAGTTTACTTTTGTTTTTCTTGTGTTGGCTGTTGCGCAGATCTAGCTGTTAGAATGCAGTGCGCTGCTGTCAGATTCTTTAGCTTTCATGTTTTGGTTTTGTCCTCTTTATGCAACTTAGGTTGTTGATGAAGATACAAAATAATTTATTAATATCATACAAACACAGTGAACAAACTGTTCACTGATGATACATAAAAGATTTCTGAACAATGTATCTGCTAGATAGAAACTTCACATAATGTTTGGTAGGATCTCAAGTTAACATTGCAAAACGTATAAACTAAATGGTATCTCATGGAAACAGCTGCCTGCCAATCCAGATGAATAAAAAGGTGTATCCCAAAATTCAAAGGATGCCTAGTGAATTTAATTCCACAAAATCCTTTTATTTTGTTCCATCCACACAACTCAAATTTAACAATCACCTTACTTTTGCACAAGAATTTTGTTTGTGCCCTCAAAAAGCATAAAGTACATAAATGTGTGATTCCAGAATCACCTGCTAGGTGCTTCTAGTAAAGTCACTCCCAGAAAAATCTCTTATGGCAGAAGTGCTTCCCACATAAGCACTCCCAAACAGGCCCTTAGCTTCTCTAAACAATTTGTTAATGCTTGAGTACAATAGTGGGAGAGAAAAGGATGTTCTATACTTTCAGCCTCCTGTTGTCACATAAACCATAATACACCAATAGGGAGATAAACTAACATTAGTCCTTCTCCTTTGATTAATGTCAGAAGTATTTTTTCCTCCTTGAACATTCATCCAAACTAATACTTGTACCTTGGATGGTACTTTTAGTCTTCCTAATCTTGTGACAAGAAAGGGGGAGAGAGAACTTATCTATGAACCTACAAAATAAGTACTGTAAACAACCCCGAAGACTCTGAGTTCCAAGCTTCTTCTATCTGGACTAACAGCTTGTAATGAAACTGTTTGACAACGAGCTGAGCCCCTCTATGCAGTCTGGCTAAACATGGCCAATTTTTTTATTTTTTATTTTTATTCCCTTCTTTCTTCATAGTTTTTTGTTTCAGCATATGATGACACTGCAATCCCTTCCAGGTGCTTTTAATGCAGGAACAACTTTCAAAAAACAGGATTATCATTGATATGGACAAGAAGGGGAAGTGAGTTTTTCTTTCTTTGTTTTTCTTTACTATAGGTGTTCGCTGTCTACAGTCCAGGCTTTAGGGTATTTTATTTTCTGTTGTTTTATTAGATTTGGGTGCTGTCGTGGGGTAGATAGAAGTAGTTTGGTTTCTTCTTTTTATAAATAAAATAGAATTCTAGTCTGGTTTCGTTTTTGGTGAGGTATGTATCAAGATGATGGTGAACCTTTATTTCACTGTTTTGTCCCTTCTATTTTGATTATTTTTACTAATTATATTTTTTCATAAACCTTTCATTTTGTTTTAGTTTAAATGCATCTGTTACAAGCAGCTCAGAGAGAATAAAAAGCAAAACTATTATTCAGATGGAAAATCAGAAGATCTATTTGATGCTTAACCAATTTGTCAAAAAGGTTGTAATGCCACATTTCATTTCAAGAAATTTAAGATTTTGTTTCATGGTATCTTGTGACTGTCATATCTTACTGTAATTTATTTTTCTTTTCAAAAACCTTTTCTATAGATTCCTATTATGGTGGTCATGAAGGCTATGGGAATGGAGAGTGATCAAGAAGTAGTACAGATGGTTGGAAGAGATCCTCGATATTCTGCCCTGCTAATGCCATCTATTGAGGTATTAATATGGTCATGGTCAAGTAATGTAAGCAAATGATTAGCTTCTTTGTCTAGAAATGGAATTGGCACAGTAAATGATGAATTTTTTACCCAACCTAACCCAGTTTTTTTATTGATTTGGGTTGGCCCATTTAGATTGAGTTGTGGTGGCTCAGTTTTTTTAATGGGGAAAAAGGATAATAGAGCTCAAAACATGACGAGCTTCAGGATAATAGGAAAAAATCAGCGTTCAATCCTAGAACAAAGATAAGAGAAAAGTCTGAGGTTTATTGATAATAATACGATCAGTCTGATTACAACCACCAAAAGTTGTTTAAATACTCTTTCCAAACCCTAGCTCCAAATAAAAATAAATAAATAAAAAATTACAAAAATACCGGAATTTTCTATAATATTAAAACTAAAAGACCTCAAAACGCTTAGAAAGCACATATGTCAGCCCAAAGCACTGAGTTTTATTCATCTCGTCGTTCCCAACTTAGATATTCCATCTCATAAATTGTAAATTTGTAACATTGTGTCTTCTTGTCTCTTCAAAAACTATTGCCTTCGCCCGGTGCACTCCCATTGTTGTGAATATTTTTTAATTTTTTTTATTAGTTTACCTTTTTCAGTTGTTATTTGTACATTTTGGGCCTGCAAACACGTCCTTTTCTGTATTAGTCTCATCTTTTGAGTTTGTTTCTCTAATTTCAGGATTGTGCAAAGGAAGGTATACATAAGCAAGAGCAAGCTTTGGCCTACCTTGAAACAAAGGTGTTCTGTGTGGTACCCTTGTTTTGAATTGTGATGATTTCATTTTATTATCTGGAAACAGACTTCAGATGTTCAAGCATCAATTTTATTGTTTTGGGATACATCTCTTTCAATGGAGACCAAAACAGCTCTGAAATTGCATATGGCCTTGCAATTAATGTGGGGGCTATTATTTCAATCTCTCTCTCTCTCTCTCTCTCTCTCCCTGTTTATTTCTTATTTATCAATCTACATTACATGGATTTGGGCATTGCTCTTGGATGTGAGTACATGCACTAGTGCCAAATACATCTTTGTTCCATAAGGTCTTCACTCATTCATAGTATTCCTATTAGTAAGCCATGATCTTACCAATTCCCTGTTGTATTGACATGGCCAGGCCAAGGTGAAGTAAAGGTCCATGTAATGCAGATTTCATCTACTCATAGGAAGCTTATGCCCTTTCACTGTCAACCTAGATATTTCGTGGTAGGGTGTGCCCTTCCTTGACCAATGTAGTGGTATATCTTTGTGGAAGGTTGATTGAAAACATGAGTGTGCCTTAGAGTGTGGTGTGCTAATGGTTTTGGTACTTCTTGTTATTATGGGTACATGGCCCCCAAATACCTTACCATTTACTTATTTGCTCTGCAAGGAATTTAGGCCTCTTATAGCTCCTGGATAATGCATAGAGTAAATGAAATTTAAAGAATTTTACTTAGAGTAATGAATGAGATAACAACTTTGTGGATTGTGGAAAGCCGATATAAGTGGGGGATTAAAGACTCAAAAGAAAACTAACCTAGCCAAACATCTCCCTCCAAATTTACTTTTAGAATCATTCCCCACCACAAAGTTAGACCCCTGTGCGAAAAAAGGGAAACCTGAGAGATGAATGTCCAGAGGCAGCTAAGTGAACGTCGCTCCATAATGGTGGAGTCCTACCCACTCAGACTGCACTCCAATATTTGAATAGCAGAACACCAAATGAGTCCTGCTCAAGAGGACATCTCCACCACCATTGATCTGTTCTGAATTGAAGTCTAAATATCTTACAGTTGCATTTCTAAATTTCTATCTCTGTCTATTTGTGGAAATGAATTGTAACTATTTCTAGTATCTATTTCCTTTCTTTTCAAATGCTAGCTCTCCTGTTCCTAAAATTGGCCAAAAACTAAAATGAGAATCAAGTTGCGAATCATTAAATTAGTAGTTTGCTGCTTCATGTTTTCAGGTGAAGAGGTTCAGTTTTGCTGGTGCTTCATCTGAGAATGTTAGTTATTTCTTCTTTTTATTTGCTGAAATGTGTCATTGTTCTTTTGAATTTATCTTTTTTTGAAATTTTCTAATTTCTTATTTGTGGCTTCAATTGTTTCCATTATTCTAATAGGATGGTAGAGTAATGACCGTTCTTCAAGATGTGTTTCTTGCTAATGTTGAGGTAAGGTGTTCCTTCCCCCTTTCCCTCTCTCTCTCTCTCTCAATTTAAAACATCTTATAAACATGCTTCATTTGTTTGATCATAACATTTTTTTGTGCCCCTCTTGTTTTTGTAGGTGTGTCAGGACAATTTTCGTCCAAAATGCATATATGTTGCTGTCATGTTGAGAAGGATAATGGATGCAATTTTAAACAAGGATGCAATGGATGACAAGGTAGTTAATTCACTCCAAATTCTCTTCTATTCCTTATGATTAATAAATGAGATTTGATCATTCCAAACCAGATTTGATTTTATGTTAGCAATACCTTAAAATGAAAGCAAAGAAAATAATCTCTGAATTTTAGTTCATCCTGAACATTTTGAAAGAAGCAACAAGACAATCGTGTTTGCTGAAATCCACACTGAAAAAGTTTATAGGAATGGCTTCTTTCTGGGTGGACAAACTGATTGTTTGAAACCCATGCTAAAGCATATGTTATTCATAATGTTGCAGCTTTATTCACTTGAGATCTTCATCCATGCTAAAGTTGGTTTATTAATAACAAAGAGCTCTCCATTCACTACCAGTTTATAACCGAGACACATGGCATCTTTGAGGATTCCATGAAGGGTGTTAAATCACTTCCCTCTATATTACACGTCCTATTTTCTGTAGTAAAGATCAAGCTGCCAAATTTTTTTGTACCTTGATAATTCCTTTTGTAGGTGAGCTGGTGACCCTAGCTCCGCCATGGCAAGTTATGGGTTTTTTTTTTTGGAAAGGCCCAAAACTTGATATTGTCGTGTGTCTCTGTTGATTGTTATTGAGTGTGGTTGTGTGTGTTTGCATTTCGTCAGGGCTATGGTTGTGTTTTTGCTTCTTTTTATGCAGATATCAGATAAAAAAACTTGAGTTTTCCCCTTTTGATGTTAGGATTATGTTGGGAACAAGCGGATTGAGTTATCTGGCCAATTAATTTCTCTTTTGTTTGAGGTATGTGTGCTTTCATTGCTCTCCTATTCTAAACAAAATGGTTTTGAAAGTTTGTTGTTACTTGTTTCCATGTGGTTCTTCCCTTGTTCTTTATTTTCTTAGGATCTGTTCAAGACAATGATTGCTGAAGTTAAGAAGGCTGTAGACAACATATTAACAAAGCCGAGCAGGTCTAGCCGTTTTGACTTTGCACAGGTATCTGCTGGGAATTATTAATATAGTCTGCAATATTTCAATTGAGTATTCTTTACAATCCAGATAACAACCATTGATAATTACGCATCGTGATGTTTTTACTAGGAAGAAGCAAGGATTAAAAAATCGATATTAGTAGATATTTCAGTAGTCCAGATTTGTGGAAATGGCAGGGAAAACTAAACAATGATGAACATCTATTTTGAAACATGAAAATTTTAGAGATAGGCTTAGGAAATGTTATACTAATCTATATTGCAAAAACTAGACGTGTAAATTTGTCATCTTTGTCTTTCTTTTTTCTTTCGAAAATTACTTCATTAAAAGAGCCAAAGGTTAGAAGTGGCATAAAAGATAGAATTACAATTGAAGGTAACCCTGAGTGGAAAGGAGCCCAAACTTGATAGGCCCAATATTAAGGATAAAATTTAAAACAACTAAGAGGTATTCTCTTAGGAAGAGCAGAAACAGCAAACTTCATTGAAGAAGAAACAACCAGCAATCCAGGATGAAACAGCAGAGCAATAACCATAAACACCCCAGTACATTGAATTACAGAAGAAACACAAGGGAGGAGCATATGGGAGTCATTGATAAATTTAAGCTTTGATGAGGCTAGGGGTTGCTTTCTTGGTCCTGAGGTGGGCAGAGAAGAAACAATGGAACGCCGAACTTCATATTTATCTTCTTCAAACTTCTCAGATTAGATCAGCACCTAATCCAAGATTCAGCTGGATTTGCTGAAATTCTACTAAATATCCCTGAACATTTCTTGAAAATCTACTTATTTTGTCAGAATTTCTACAAAAAACAGTGAAATTCTACTGAAACACTCTATATTACTGAAATTTGTCCGAAACATTGGAGAAAAGTCTGGAAAGGTAGACCTTCTGCCCCTTTCGATTACTGACACTTGGGTTTTACTGGAAGATTGGTTGCCGATATTTGGTACCTTGGGGAGAAGAAGTAGATGAAATTTGAACAAAAAAGGCCTGGTCATTAAACGAGCACATAATTTCCCCATTGTTGTGTTTGTAATAAGGGTGCTTTGGGAGGAACTTATCATCTCTTCTTCATTCTTATGGTTTATGCTGTTTAGGGAGTTCAAATTGAGGTGGGTTATACCAGAATCTTGTGTGGTTTTGCAATGTGAAAGGCTTAAGTTTTTGGGAGGAATGAAGATGGCGTGGTTCTGTTAAATGTGCTCTAATGGCTGTTTTCTGGGTTATTTGGATGGAGTAGAACAGAAGGTTGCTTCATCTTGCTAGGGGCTGGAGAAAGAATACATGTGGGAGAGGGTTCATTTCTGGATATCATGGTGGGCTGTGGAATCATTGGAATCATTATGTTTGCATGTAAGAAAAATGCGACATTCTTTCTTCGTTTTGCAATCTAGTGATCTGAACCATCTATATTCAAGGCTCTCCTTCAAGGATCAACCATTGAAAAAATCAACCAAATCGGAAATCATTTAGTCATTTGATTGCGATCACTATCATTTCATTTTATGTAACAGAGATCTTGTTTTATCCTTAATGAGCATTGGACTTCGGAGTTAAAAATTTCTTTTGAATGAATCTACATTTTAAAGAATTTTAATGTAAAATTTAAATCTCTCATTCTCTTTTGTTTATTTTATTTTTTCCTACTGCAGTGCATAATTAAAGATAGTATTACCCATGGCCTTGAAAGAACCTTATCTACCGGAAACTTCAATATAAAACGGTTCAAGATGGACAGTAAAGGAATGACACAGGTTTGCTTCCTATCATCTACGTTGCTTTGAAATGTGCTCTCTCCTATAAACCATGTTCTCACTCTCTCTCTCTGTATATATATATAGTTATATATTTACGCTGTATTTTTTATGGTGCTATCTCCTATAAACCATGTCTTTTTATTGTAGACGTGTGCATATGTAGTATGTATCTTCTAGAATCTTTCAATAATGTTAGCATTTTTTGCCAGTAAAAAGGCAAATATTATTTCTGGAAAACAATAAAAATACAGAGAAAGTGGACAAGATGGCCACTTCAAAAAATGGAAGGTCGAGTTGTTAATTATCTCTTCATTGGTGTCCCCTCCCAAAATGTGGGCAAATCTTCTTACCCTTTTTTTTGTGTGGCAATTAATGGATTTCTTGTACATCCTGTTTTAGTAACTTCGTTCTGGAAATAAAAAAAGAAGACAAACTACATAAAAGCCCCAAAGTATAGGGTCATTTTCAAGTTCATACCCACCTTTAGGGACATTTACGACCCTTGGAAAACCTACAAATTGCCCCCTCCGTTACACAAACCGTTAATGAATCTGTTAAGTGCTGATGTGGCAAATATGGGTCCAATTTTTTAATGACATGAACTTCCAAGTGGACAAATATATAATAAAAAATTATGTACTTTTTAATAAAAAATTAAAATCATATTAAAAATTAAAAATTATCTCCTCCAAGCCCCCTACCCAGCGAACCCAGCTACTCCAGCCACCAAAACCACCACCCAAGCCACCCAAACGACCACCCAGCTCCTCCATTCACATCCCCAAATAACTTACCTAGGCCACCCATCCCAGCTTTACAACCCATCTTGTTCCAGCCAAATCCCCTACTCTTGCAACTTTGGGCTTCCAGAACTTGGTCGCGTTTTGAAAATGGGTTATCGATTTTTTCAAGGGCGTGATTTTGGCTCCTCCATATTAATCCAAATGGTTGGATCATTCAAAAAAAAAATAAAAAAAAATGGATGTTGATGCATTTGTTTCACAATCTGGAGTCTAGCCACTTTCAGATCTGGGTATGGGGCTTGGTGGTGGGGATATGGGTGTGTTAGCATAATTGGACCGAACCAGATGTAAGAGAGAGAGAGAGAGAGAGAGAGAGAGAGAGGGGCGGAGGGAAAGGGGATGGGGCTGGGGCAGGGCTGCGTGGAGAAGAGGGGTGTCACTGGGCTGAGAGATTTCGGGGCTATCGGGAGGTGCGATGGGAGATCAGGAGGGGCGCTGGGCCGATAGAAACTGCCTTCAACCTTAACTCAATATCTCAAGAACAACAATGATATTATTTATTTCACAAAGAACAGGATATGATTTCTCAACTCACTCCTCAATATAGACTCTCTCAATTAATAAAGAATTAACCTAACCAACTCTCAACTAACTAATACAGACAAAAAGTGGAGTCGTTTTCTCACTTGTGCAATCAGGAATCTTGTGGTGGGTGTCTTCATCAGAATTGGGCAGCAAGATCGATCGGGAGGGGGGCTGGGTGATGAGTGATTTGGCCGTTGAGGTTTTTTTTATTTTTTATTTTTTCAAAATAACTGTAAAGAATTTATGATTTTTTTTTAATATTTATTATTAATTTTTCATATGGAGTCCACTTCATTAAAAAATAGGACCCATATTTGCCACATCAGTATTTAACAGATTCATTAACGATTTGTGTAATGGAGGGGGCAATTTGTAGGTTTTCTGGGGGTTTGAGTATGTACTCGTAAATGTCCCTAAAGGTGAGTATGAACTTGAAAATGACCCTATAGTTTGGGGGGTTTTATGTAGTTTGCCCCAAAAAAAAATTATCATTCCCTATCAAACAAAAGGCAACAGTATAATTTTTAGTGAGAGTGTAAGCTGTTGATTTTATTTGGGATGAAGTCTGATTTTTCGCTTTTGGTTGTGTTTGTTTGTTTAAGAGTTTTTGGGATATCTTCTTTAGTGTGATTCATCTTGATGTGTGTGAGCTTTGTTGATTGTAACTCGTTCAGCTTTGTTATAGGGCTGGAGGCTTTGTTCAGATGGAGTTCTTGACTTTTTTTCTTGTCATTATCTGAACAAAAAAAAAGATGGACATATTCTCGATCTTCTCTTCTGCTCCTTTTTCTACATATATTCGAAAACACATACAAAATCAATTCTTGGTGCATGTTTAAAAAAATAAATAAATTCCTGAGTCTCTGGTTCTTAGGCTCTCTCAGGTTTGATTCATAAAGGTCCCTCTTATGGCAGGTGTTAGCGAGGTTATCTTTTATAGGGTGTCTAGGCCATATGACCAGAATCAAGCCGCAATTTGAGAAGACACGGAAAGTAAGTGGACCTAGGGCTTTACAACCTAGCCAGGTAAGGGTGATGTCTCTGCAATGCTTTGAAAATGTGTCACCTTTTACATGATGGATATCTGAATATATATGTATCTTTGTACTTACGGTATTTTGCTTTTGCTTTATTACTTTTGGTGAAGTGGGGCATGCTTTGCCCTTGTGATACTCCAGAAGGTGAACCTTGCGGACTGATTAAAAACTTGGCCCTGATGACTCATGTGACAACTGATGAAGAGGAGAGCCCGTTAATTTCTCTGGTATGCTCGTCATCACACATTTTTGATATACCCATGGAGGTGTAATTTTTGTTTTCACTTATTGTGCTGCATCATACAATAAGTGATGGCATATTTAATAATTGCAGTACCATGTGTAATTGTTAAGTCTTATATGGTTGAAGAATTGCATTATATTTTACTATATTATGGCGGTAGGTTGTTTTGGGTTAAGGTTTCTTTTGCTGTTATTGGGAAGGAGAACGGGTTTTTTTCTTTTCTTTTTCTCTTTATCTTTTCAAAATCCCAAACTCTAAGAAACTAGTGTGCACAAGACACACCTTTTGGAGCGAGGCGCACACTTCATCAAAATGTCCAAGTCTTCAGGCATTTTGGCTTTTCAAAGGGATGCAGGAGGCATTTTCCTTTCGCCTCATTTTGTTTTGGGCCTCTATTATTTTAATATTTTTCAATGAAATCACTGCAATTAATAACGGTTGAAATAAAGATCAAATCAAGATTTCTATCATTTAAATTGACAGAATGTGCATGTCCGTGGGATGGTATTTGTATCTATCTGCAGCTGTATTGTGTATGTCTGTCCTTGTTTGTTTAGTTCTGATGTAATCTTTGTTGGAGCAAAAGATCTCCACCTTTCTCGAGTAATGATTATACCTGTAAGATGAACAAACCTCGAGGTGAGGGGACATTATGGTGTGGTGCTAGCCAAGGACCGCCTGATGGAAGGGTCGATAGTTTCTTAATTTGCATTGGGCCCCTTTAAACAATTCTGAATTCACAGTCCGTTTAACCCAGTTAAAGGTGTGAGGGCACTTTAGTCTTGTTCATTCGCATTAGACACGTAGCAAGACGTGGTTAATTTTGGTCCCACAGACTTCTTGTGCACAACTATTTGTGTTTCTTTAAAAATTGATCAATAAATAGTTTCTTTTCAAAGCAATTAAAAAGTTGAATGTATATATGCAATGAAGCCATGTAGAAGGGTCATTAGTACAGTTTTTGGGTGTTTTTTTTTCAACATGACGAATAATAACTTTGTATGCAGAATGTGCACATTCCATTAATTTAACTGAGGAAAATCCTGATTTATAGTTAATTGCATCAGTTATTAATTACAGGGACTTGAATTAAAAAAAAATCTACTGAGAAGTTGGAACTAAGTAGTAAATAGCCTAAAATTATAAGGACCAGAATTGTAGTTTCAGCAAAATAATCTTTTGTTAGAAAATAAAAGTTTATTATGTTTTTCTGTCAATTAAAAGATAGGATTTTATATGTTTTCCTGAAAACTGATTTAAGTAAGATCTGCAATTTGTTGACTTCCAAAAAATCAATTGGACTTGTAGATAATATCTAGCTTCAGCAGATATCCCCTATAGTTTGAAAAGATATTCAGAAAGAACTGAACATTTGTTGTTCCTGTATGTGCATTAGATAATCCACTGGCCATATTAATTTTTAGTTGATTCCTTTTTTAGTGCGAAAGGCTTACACTCTATTATTTAATTTCTTGTGCAATAGTGCTACTGTTTGGGTGTTGAAGGCTTGGAAGTACTATCAGGAGAGGAGCTTCACACACCATATTCTTTTCTAGTTTTGTTCAACGGAAACATCCTTGGAAAGCATAGGAAGCCACAGGTAATAACAATGTTCCATACAGATGTCTATGAATACACACACTCATATAGTTCCATCACGGCTGTTCAGTTTGTTTGCCAGTCGCAAAAATGGCCAGGTGTGATGGGGTGTCCTGCTAGAAAAATTTGCAGATGATGTTTCTGTTATATGATTTATGTATTAGTGTCTTGGTGCTATTGTGTATTCCTCTTTGGTGATAGATACTTATTTCATTCAATAATTTTTCTTAAATCTTAGCATTTTGCTGCTGCAATGAGAAAGTTACGTAGAGCTGGGAAAATTGGGGAGTTTGTAAGTGTCTTTGTCAATGAAAAACAGGTAAATTCTTTAACTTCCAAATGACTTTTTTCTTCCTCTTCTAATTCCTTTTTATAGCTGCAAACTACCACGTGTGATTCTTTTCCACTTACAAGGCATGCGCTTCGTGGCAATGGCATCTTCAATCCCCTTTAGTGAGCCTGTAGAGGCTATTATTAACTTGATGTAGGAAGGTTTTGAGACTACGTGACTCTGATGCAAGGAACCCAATTTGTAACTTCTAACCCCATTTCAAACCTAAATGTACCGGTTCCCAACTTTTCAATTATAATCGAGTAGAGTCAGATGATGACTTGATACTCCTCTAGTAAGATCCCTGTGCCTTAACTGAAGATACAGCTTGTCCAATGCTGAAAAAAATAAAATCCTTTCAAACCACCGCTAAATTATTTTCTCTTGGACCTATACAATTCCAGCTCAGTTGTCACCCAATTTTTTTTTTCCTGTACAGCTGATTGAACAGCCTTATGGTCCTTGTCACTTTCCGCAATTAGAATTTGTGAAGCAAATTTGGTAACATTAAGGCGCCCACCTGTCATCACTTTCCCCATTAGAATTTATGAAGCAAATCTGGAAATGCATATAATAACAATCTATAATGTTGTAGCAGTTTGAATAGAATTGTTATGTTGTTTGATCTCTCCACCTGTAATGATAGAAAGTAAAACGTTTTAAGTATAATTTATCATTGTAGTCTCCAATTCATGTTTCTGCTATTTTTTCCCTGGAACTAGTTTCTATGATTAGATACCTGACAGAGTTAAGAATTTTATCAGCATTGTGTTTACATTGCTTCTGATGGAGGTCGAGTTTGTCGTCCGCTAGTCATTGCTGATAAGGGCATATCAAGGGTCAAAGAACATCATATGCTGGAGTTGAAGGTGAATATACTTTTTGCTGCTTCTCCTGCCAAAATAATTGTTACCAAAGCTGATATTTTAATATCTTTTGCTTTTTAAGGCTGGAGTCCGCACATTTGATGATTTTTTAAGTGACGGGTTGATCGAGTATCTTGATGTTAATGAGGAGAACAATTCTTTGGTTCGTTCCTGTCTAAGCCTTACTTATGAAGTTTTTCATTTTGTGATGTACTTGATAGACAATTACTCAACATTCATAATTATCATTTTATAGATTGCTCTATATGAAGAGGAGGCAACAACAGAAACAACACATATCGAAATAGAGCCTTTAACCCTCTTAGGTGTTATTGCTGGTCTAATTCCATATCCTCACCACAACCAGTCTCCTAGAAATACGTACCAGGTTTTCTTGTCTTACTCTGATAAATTTTCTTTTTTTCAGGTTACCCAAATTTCTAACTGTATGATTCTAATTGAGCCCTTTGGTCTTTATATAGTGTGCAATGGGAAAGCAAGCAATGGGAAATATTGCATATAACCAGGCAAGTGGTTTATTAGTACATGGCCCCTTTACCCCTTTGGCCAAAGAAAGAGGCCCTTCTTCCCCCTTGCTGTTTAAGCTCTTTTAGAAAAGATTTTTTTTTATGTTTCCATGGTGATCTTAACCCTTTTTATGTTTGTTTTCCTCTTGCGCATTGAAAGTTACCAAAACTTGGTTATGTACTTTCATCGTAGGGCTCCTGTGTTCAGCCATATTTCTTGCCATTATTGATACAAGTTACAACCATAATTTTACTTTTTTTTTCTTTTTTTTTGTAGCTACATCGAATGGACTCATTGCTTTACCTTCTGGTGTATCCTCAACGGCCATTATTGACAACAAAGACCATTGAGTTGGTTAGTATACCCTATACTCTATTTGGGTTGCTGTTGCAACTGTAGTTGGTAAATTAATCACTTTTTCTTCAGGTGGGCTATGATAAACTTGGAGCTGGGCAGAATGCAACTGTTGCTGTGATGAGTTATAGTGGCTACGACATAGAAGACGCAATAGTCATGAACAAGGCATCTTTGGATCGTGGTTTTGGTCGTTGTATTCATATGAAAAGGTACCCAACTTCATTGTCATTGGTGACTGCATATAACAATATCACAACTTTGCCGTACACTGTTGGTTGCTCAAGTGTTTGGATATTTATGGTTACTTACAGAAGATGTTTCTGAGTAGGTATTGCGCGGTGAATCAAAAATATGATAATAACACACAAGACAGAATACTAAGGCCCAATAGAGATGGTTTTGATTCTGGACCGATGCGGGTAATGCAAAGCCCTCTTCCCTCCCTTTCCTTAAATCCTTGTACCTCTACCTACATGGTGTGGCGGTGCAATTATCTTAACTTCTTATATTTGTTGTTTAACTGCAGTCTTTATATGTCTCTTCTCCAGTTCAGATTGGTCAACATCTTTATAGTTGTCTTGAATTGCATTTCTTATAGGTGCTGGATGATGATGGGCTTGCTGCACCTGGGGAAATTATTAGACGAAATGACATCTTAATAAATAAACAGGTCCCTATTGTCACAAGGGGGCAATTTAAATCAGCATTAAATGATAGGTTGGCTACTTTGTTTGCCCTGCATATTCAAACTAGGATTCTGATTGTATCATTTCCTTACACCCATTTTCTTATGCAGCGAGTTTAAGTCTGTTCCACAAAGATATGATGGGCCTCAAGGGGAATCATGTGTGGTCGATAAAGTGGCTCTTTGTTCTGATAAACATAATAACTTATGTTTCAAATTCGTAATTCGTCATACTCGCAGACCAGAGGCAAGAGATTGTTTTGTCATCTAAGATACTTGTGCTTACCTTTTAGGATCCTCTAAAATATATTTTCATTTACGCAGGTTGGTGATAAGTTTAGTAGCAGACATGGACAGAAAGGTGTTTGTGGTACCATTGTCCAGCAGGAAGATTTCCCGTTTTCTGAGCGTGGCATTTGCCCTGATTTAATTATGAATCCTCATGGGTTTCCAAGGTAATTCCTTCTTTTAGAACTACTTATTTTAAATTTCATTGTTTTATCAATCATGTGCAAATTGAGTCAATATGAGGTTTGTGTGAATTGAGTGGAAAAGATCAAATGTAATTTTCTACTTATTCTTGAAATATATATATATTTTTTGGTCAATTACTCGTTCTTGAAATATAGGTTATGTTATTAGAAAATATGAACTGCAAGTCAATTTTTTTTCAAGAGGCAGTTGAGGTGATCATTTGAAACTGATGTTAAGGATGAGTTTTCAGTGGGTCAATTCATGTTCAGGATGTGTGTTTGTATCCTCACTATTCATTATTTTGAGTTTCATAAGCAATGTTGTTTCTGATTGATAATTCAGAAACTGCAAAGTCGTACCATTTATTTGTTTTCTAATAGTTTATTTTTTTCAATTTCTACCGTTTCTTTTATTTTTAAGATTTCAATCTAAAGTATTCCTTAATTCATAGCAGATTAGGTTTTCCATTTCAAGGGTACCCTGCCCATCCTCTGAAAGGGTGGTTGGGCTTCCATTTCTTCAAAAATGAGAAAGAGATTAATGAATAAAAGGATTATGAGTATATAACAGGTCCAAAAAAAATAATAATTCCAAGCCTGGTTGTTAAACACAAATCATTATGTAGGTCTTAGGTCTCATATCATTTGGGTCAGTTGATGGATTGTATTGCATTTCAGTAGTCCTAGAAATACGTAAAAGGGGACAATCTGAGGTTATACTATTTGGAATCCATGCTTAAGATTTTTCTAGAATTTCATGTGGAAATCGTTTGAAGTAGTTCTTTCTACGTTTGAATGTTACATTCCTATCTTTTGTTTAGTGTTTATTGATCTTCTGGGTTTCTGACTATGTTCTGCTGTAGATATCATTGGAATCTTCCTATGTGTATATGATTCGTATGTTTTTTTTTCCGGTTTTCTGTCAGTCGAATGACTGTAGGCAAGATGATAGAGCTTCTTGGGGGTAAAGCAGGAGTGTCATGTGGCAGGTTTCACTATGGCAGTGCGTTTGGTGAACCAGGTGGTCATGCAGACAAGGTTGAAGCTATAAGGTGCTTAAATCATCTATTTTTTTGCATTATCTTCTATGTTTTTTTCCAGATTTCTTTTCTGTAAATAATTTCTCTTTTGTGATAGTGAAACCCTCGTGAGGATGGGATTTAGCTACGATGGCAAGGACTTTATATACTCAGGTTGTGGCTTTGCTTCTGAAATTCATTGCATGGTCACATGAAAATTTTATTGCCTATTCACGTGAAAATGTTTTAAAGTGTATTAGATCACTTTCTGAATAAATAGCAGTGTCTGATATGCTAGATGTTTTCTTGCAATGCTAAAAGATCCGAAGATTGGTTATTTGAATTTATAAGAGATTAAGTTGAATCCAGATGTTCCAGGCTTTATCTGATTCAAAAGAATTCATCTTTCTAGACCATCTTGGATATTGTAATTTTAATTTGAATGGACGAACAACTTACCTCATAGTTGCATTTTGGTTCTTTATGAAGTACGCTCTCTCTGTCTCTCTCTGTCTCTCTGTCTCTCTGTCTCTCTGTCTCTCTCTCTGTCTCTCTCTCTCGTTTCAATCTGGCTACACAGCAAATGACAAAATTAGCCCTATTCATAAACGTAACTGATGAAACAACATTATCATCTTGGTTCCTCTAGTGCTATCATATCATAATTATAGTTTGAATTTTCAAAAATTTTCAAATATAACGTATTTTACTAATCTTTGAACTATTTAATATCTAGATGCGTTTGTAGGTTGTACATCAATATGATTTTCTAAATTGAATTACATTAGCCTAAGATCATCAGCTCTCATTCATTTTCAGTCATAGTTAATATTGATAATCTACAGATGTCCATTGTGGGAACCAACGCTTAATTATTAATAATGCATTAGTTTAAGCTGGGAAAAAGAAGTAGTTATAAATTATATATACCATTGTTAAGCTCCAAATTGCCAAATTTAGAAACTACATGTAAATATATAGATGGTACTGTGGTTGCTATATCTAAACTAAAAGAACTGAAAAAGAGTGCTTGGTGATTTGTAAGACATGAGATTACAAGCTAATAATAAGTGGTAGTCTTGTGGCTTAAGAAATTCTGAAAATTACTGGACATAGATGATGCAGTAGTTTTACTTATTGGTTTAAATCCTGTAATTCTCGAGCTCTAAAGGATATGCTATGAAGTATGATTATTTTTTGCATATTTGTTGTTTATCTAAAGAATTGTATGACTGACTGTAAATGTACTTTTCTGAAACGAATAGGATGGCCCTCATGGGTCATGACTTTATGGTTTAGAACGTCAACTAGAAGCTTTATATTTAATATACATAAAAAAGGAGTCATATCTTATGCTTCTAAAACCTAAAACAATTATGGTCTTCACTATGTTTAATTTGAATTAAAAGGAGCTCCTTAACAGTGTTCCATGTGCTTAGACAGATCTATATCATACGAAAGAAACTGTCTTAATGCATGTGTTTATCCTCCAGGTATCACAGGTTGCCCATTACAAGCATATATATTCATGGGACCAATTTACTACCAGAAGTTAAAACATATGGTGAGATTTCAATTTTCAATCATGGCTATTTTACACGCTTGTGAATCTTTGGTTCCTTCCAAAGTTATCACTACGATCGTTTCGATCTTCAATCATGGCTATTTTACGTGCTTCTTGGAAGACATTAGTTTCTTCACAATATTTACTCCTATCACATAAAACATGGCATATTTTATTTTAAGTGTATCAAACACTTTAATTATTGCGCAGTTTACATTTACGGATCATTAAAACTTCAACGTCATATTTATGATATCATATAAATACATGATGTTCAGGTCCTAGATAAAATGCATGCACGAGGAAGCGGTCCCCGAGTCAGTCTAACTAGACAACCTACTGAGGGAAAAGCCCGAAATGGAGGTTGTGATTTTATCTTTGATATATCAAATTAATTTCACATTAAGCAGTTCTGTTTGTTCTAATGTTATTCATCTACCAGGACTACGAGTGGGAGAAATGGAGCGTGATTGTTTGATTGCTTATGGTGCTAGTATGTTGCTTTATGAACGCCTAATGATCTCTAGTGATCCTTTTGAAGTTCAGGTATTTACTGCTTGTGCTTCTTTAATAAATCTACCTTCCAGATATTTTCCGTTGCATGTCAATAAGCCATTTTATGATGTCATCCCTACTCTGCCGTCTCAAAAACCAAACATACCAACACTTACAAAACTTTTCAGCCATTGATGGACGGTCCGAATTCTTTCAGTTTTTATCTAACTAGTTAAATACTTTTTCTTGGCTTAAAATATTTGCTATTGATATCAAATATTTAAATACTACTTCCAAAAAATAATAATAATAAATACATGCCTTTTTTGAAATGCTTTCTCAAATAAGTAAATTAGAAATGTCAGTATAACCCTTTTGAGTTTTCTTTATTGATATCAACATACCTTTTCTTTTACTGAGAATATATTTGCTCAGCATCACCATACATAATGTGCCAGGATAAGTTTAACTAGTCTACCCTCTGCATGAATTTCAACAATCGAGCTCACATCCAATGGCAACAAATATTGTAGTGAGCAAATCTAGTCTTTTTATTTGACTGCACTAAAACATAATAGCCACAAACCAAAAGACCAACGCATAAATGAACCACATGATTTTATTAAAATGAAGAAACACAATGACAAAACAGTGGCGTTTTGTCTAAAACTTTTCAAAAACGAAAAAGGGAGATTTCTTCTTCGTAGTAAGAGTTTCGGGCTGACTTATTTCTTCATGGTATGCTTCGCGTGCCTCTGCAACATGACATTCTTCTTTTTTTTTCTTCGGTGCAATTACTTAATTCAGATCTGTTAGGTTGTAATTTTTGTAGAAATCAGTGTCAAAATTACTGATAAACTTCAGTGACGGTGTAACACTTGAATGGTTGGATTTGATATTTGTGGACCCGCTATATTATTTCGGATCTTCCATAAAGCAAACCAATCTTATGAAAAACCATAACCTTTATGAAAGTTTTCAAAAGGTGGTATCTCAGACACGACATTGTGATTGTATTGTAGCTTCTAATATTTGCTTTTGCCTCAGGTTTGCAGAGTGTGTGGTTTGTTGGGCTATTACAACCATAAGCTGAAAACTGGAATTTGTTCCTCATGTAAAAATGGGGATAATATTTCCACCATGAAGCTTCCCTATGCTTGCAAGCTCTTGATTCAGGTAAAGCTTGGGAATTCATTGAATGTTCTTTTGCTTATCCAAGCTGGCACATCCCCTGTTTGTGGAAGGTCCCTTAACATCCCCTTTAGTATAGTAAGACATAACATTCTGAGTTAGATACTGGGTTTGCAATTTAATTTGTCTAATTAACTGCTTAAAATTGTGATCCAAAGAAAACCTGAAAATTTGCCTCTTTATATGTTTCCTGATTTGCAAAAATGGCTCTTTATATAGTTTTAACTGCCTTGGAAAATTCCTTCTTCCAATTTTGTTTCTCTAGTTTTGATGGATTTCGTTATCTGAAAATTTTCTTTTCTTGTCCGAAACCATATGCCTTATTTGTTCACAACGCTTTTATGTGTCTAAAAGAATGGTCAGCTATTTCTCTTGGTTTAATTTTATTAAAAGGGGTTGATGAGTAAGTTATCATGGTTAACTAGCATACCCTAAAGAATGTCGGTAATGGTTCCGCATGCTGATGTTTAAGAATAGACATAACTTGACTGAAATCTTTTTATCTTCTTTTTGTTGTTTTTCCCTATTATTAGCATGTCAATAGTTTCCCTACATTTCACAGCTTCAATCTTAAGTAACCTTTCAACTGTTGAATGCTTGCTTCCAGGAACTTCAATCAATGAACATAGTTCCTCGGTTAAAACTAGCTGAGGCATGAAGTATGGCATTTCTTGACAGCACCGAGTCGACAAACTGAAAGTGAGATTTGATTTTGCGCTTTTCCATACTACTGATTCTATTCTAAAGAGTCATACCGAAAAATGAAAAAGGCTCCATTCTAAAGCCAGCTAGCCATCAGATGTGGAAACCCGCATAATGTGGTACAGGGATGGGCATGGTGAAGAGGGTTGGCACAAGGTTTTCTCTGCCCCGCTTATGTTCATCTTTTGTTGCTGCTTAGAGAGGCAGGAAGTATGTGCCATATACTTTGTTCTTCTCAAATGGAAACAACTTGTATCTCTCAATGTATACATTTTTTTCCTTCTAAATAATGTATCATTTATTCTAGAAAGGGCTTTGGCGCCTACTCTGAGTACACAGTAATAAGTTAATATATATGCACCCCTACCCTCAAAATTCTCTCTCAAGGGCATAAAACCGAAAGTAAAATCTGAATATGTCAACATGTGGACCAGGCATTGGTGAGACTCCCAAATACCAATTATGAAGAAATTAGTCCTTACATCTGTGTCTTTCACAAAAATCAAAGGGACGTTCTTCGCTGCAACTACTTCACTGACCAACGTGGGCTTTTTAAATTCCGCATAAGTCAGTCGCACCTAAAAATTTATCTGGCATCCAGATCAGACATAATTTGCAAAAAGTTGCTTTTGATCCATGTCATTTTAGTTCTAGCGGCTTGATACCCCTCACAATTTGAGGACACATCCACATTTATGTCCAATTACATGGCAGAAATTAAACACGTGCCTCTCACATGGAGGTGTATTTTTGCCTACTTGTGGCATCTACCTTATTTATGGCTTCACCTCTTCCCATTCCAGTCTTCCTTTTTCGGTATGACTTTCCAATTCAGTCCAGGCTCGAATTTAGGAATTAGGGCTCCTCAAAATGTTTTATTCATGGGTTGAGATTTTGTTCAATTTCTCATTCTGGCATGTAAGATTTAGTTTTTACATTTCTAATTTTGATATATAATTGCATTTCATTGAACAACTTGTTAATCCCTTCATATCTAGGTCTACAACTACTATTGTGTCTCCCTTGGATTTTATGCACCTTAATAAGCATGTCAAACTCTGGCACCAGCCAAGCATCAAGGTGTTCATTCCGCAGTAGGCAAATGAAGGTGGGAAGGGGAACCTCAAAGACACAAAGGAGTCGTGGAAGGTGCTTCTGGAAATACAATACATCATATGTAATTAAGACTGACCCAAAAAAAATACTGATTTTGTGTTGTTTCGGAATGTAGAAATGTGATATTTCTTATTCTAGAGCCAAGTTTGGATTCGGTATACACAAGGAACATCTTATTGTGCTGGATTTGTATGGGATGATGGAATCAGCACTCGTAACTTGATGCATAATAAACCATCTATAGGAAGTCAATCAGACATGGAGAATGAACCTGCTAGAGGGATTAAAGGATTTAGTGGTCTTCATAAAATAAAAAAATAAAAATAAATAGAGGATTTAGTGGTGGCTTTAAAGATGAAGTACAAAACCCTTAAAACAACCGGTGATTTAGTGGTGTCAATTGCTAGTTCATTTGTGGATTTCAACCTGTGATGTGTTATGCTAATTATGAAATTCATAATCCAAAATATCGATAATATCAACGAAATATCGAGGATGTTATCATTTTTACGAGTCGAAGATATTTTGGAACGTATTCATGCACATATCGTTTAAATATCGATAATATCGATGATAATATAGGAAAATATCCATGTCAATAATTTCTCACACTTTAGCAATATTTGGCTTAAATATCACTATAATATCAATAACATCGAGATGATGAAGACAATGAAAAATTTGAAGAGTTAATTATGTTAACAGCCCCTGAGGTTTCTTGTGTTTTCAAAAAACCACCTCAGATCTCAAAAATTACAAGAACACCCCCTGAGGTTTCAGTTTGTTTTTATAAAACCAATTTTCATTGGTTGTTTGTCCAAAAATTGATGATTTCATTGGAAAAAAAACTTATGCAAATGATAAAATTAACCTCAATGAAGTATATGCAATCTAATCTCAAAGGCCAACTTTGTCATTTGGAGATTTTTTTGGGTATAAAATCATCAATCTTTGGATGAAAAATCAATGAAAATGAGTTTTGTGAAAACAATTTAAAACGTCAGGGGTTGTTCTTGTAATTTATAAACCCTCAAGGAGTGTTGTGAAAAATTCGAAAATCTCATGAGGTGTTAGTGTAAATAACTCAAATTTGAACTTTATAGAAACTCTATGTGGTATTAAGTTACTCATGTATAAAGTGTAAAACATTGTAGTAAATCATTATAAATAAATGATTATGGTGTGTTTAATCTTCTTTCATTAATTACGACATATTTTCTACACTCGTAATGTTTTTAAGCTCGCTATATAATCAACTTAAATTAGTTAAACCCATCATGCAATGACCTTCCAAATTTTTTTGTGTGATAAAGTAATAGATAATTGACTAAATAAACATCCTCCAAAGTATCAAAAAAAAAATTTCCAAGTTTTTATTACAATTTCCATATATTTTATTCAATTTTTATCGATATTGATAATATCCCGAGAATTCCATAGAAATTTTTGTGTTTTTGGATTACCAATTCGAAACCATTGATATTTTAGACATTTATGATCGTGATTGTGTATTCAGTTAAAAAGTGGAGTATAAGGGATGTAATGATGGTTTATTTCACATTGTGGTTGTGGATTGTTAATGAGTTTTGAGTACATCTTAGTAATGAAATTCCCTTTGTTAACGATATTTGCAGTGAATGCAAAAATATATATATATATATTAGTGATTGGAGAAGAGGGGTTTACACAAATATTGGTGTTTGGGGTTTCCAACCTCTGTCCACATGAATGGATGTGGAAGAGCTCAACCAACTGAGCTATACACAAATGCCAACACACAAATGATTCTTGATATACAAAATAAATGAGAAGAAAGCATAGCAAAATCTGTAAGGCCACGTTTGGCTCACGGAACGGATTTGAGGGGAAATCACTTCCCATGTCATTTCCAAGGGATAGGAAATGGAGATTCCTTACCCATATTTGGTAATCCTAGGAAAGTAATCAAGAAATACCACTTTATTTCATTTCACATGTTTGGTTTGTGTATGAATGTAAAACAAAGTTTGTTTAATTTTTCAATTATACCCATATGAAATCAAATAAAAAATAAATGCAATTAATGCTGTATTGTAATTCTAAATTGTTAATGGGGATAATATGGTCATGAAAAATGTATATTTAATGTTGGCTCATTTTCCTAAACTTTCTCATTAGGTGGAAAACAAAACCCAAGGGGAGAGGAGGGCTTCACTTTCCCCCTTACTTTTCAATGTGCAGGGCAACTATTTTCCATGCATGAACTTACAAAACATGGAAAAGCAATTAATTTCCCATCCCCAAACCTTTTTTTCCCATAAACCAAACATTCTTTCCTATGAACCAAACAAGCCTAAGAAGCTTAGTGCCATTTCACAATAAAAGCAGCATTTCAAGGTTTGTAATTGTCAGAGCAAAAGCAACATAAGCATTTGAGTTGTCCAGCCAACTTTCATTTCTCATAATGTTGCTTAATAAAACAACTTTCATTCACTTTTTGAAATTTATCTTCTTTGTTAGTGAGCTTTATGAAGAAGGCCTTATCTTTTGGTTTCCATGGTGGCTTCCTATATCTATTTGCCATTGGCCTTGAGAGTGGAGATCTACTCCTCCTCTTAAAATCGTTTGTTATTATAAAAAAATTCCAGTTAAGAGACAAGTCCTACAATACTCATTCCTATCCTACCTAGTATGCTATTTAGGGTTAGTTACATTTTTCGTCACCGGGGTTTAGCTCAAAATCAAATTTGGTCACTATAATTTTAATTTTTTCCGATTTCATCACCGTTTTTACAGGAGTTAACAAATTCAGTCCTATTCCTCAATTATGTCAGTTTGTTTAATTTTAAAAATATTTAATATTAAGTTAAAATAATTAATTTCAATGAAATTTAATATTTAAAAAAAATAAAAACCTACCCCATGTTCTGTCACATCCCGGGATCAGCTCCGCCGTAGAACGATATTGTCCACTTTGGGGCCCCCTCTCTGCCCTCACGGTTTTATTTCTGGGAACTCACGAGCAACTTTCCTGTGGGTCACCCATCTTAGGATTGCTCTAGCTCCAACTCGCTTAACTTCGGAGTTCCATGACTCCGAAGCTAGTGAGCTCCCAAAAGGCCTCGTGCTAGATGGAGGCGGGCATGTACATATAAGGCAAATCACCCCCTCTCCATTGGTTGATGTGAGATGTTACATGTTCCCTTTGTTCTACCATCAGCCTCCCTTCCCCACCTAGCCAATAGTGCCTAGCCCCACCATCCCTTCTCTCTGCTCCCATCAAGTAGATCAAAACCAAAATTTCAAATATTGGTAAGTTACAAAGAGATCTCAAGAGGTGTTGAGTTCTTGGGTGAGTCTCTCTCACATGCTTGTAGACAAAACTAGTTTGAATGTTGTTCGTTGTGTTTTGAACACTGTGATTCCCTTGATCGCTAGCAGGCTATACTTTAGCAACTAGAGGTTACTTGTTGGTGAAGGAAGTGAAATGAAAGAGATTTGGGCCCTAAAATGGACTCAAAAGCTGCTCTCAAAAGCTGCCACTACTAGTGATACTCTTCTATTATACAGAGGTGGTAAAGTCGATATAATGTTGTGTAAGTATTGCGCTCCTATGATCTTAACCTCTAACCAAAGCCACTGTGCTCTAAAGAAAGGAATCTAGCTTTAGATAGGTTCTTTTTCATGCCTCAATGAAGAGAACTTCAATATTTCACTTGATATGGAATAAAAGCAAGATGGATGGTGATTTTAGATTGTCATCGGATAGAGAGTACAATAATAAATCCTGAATGAAAAGTGTCTGATGGACACAATACAATTCCTGGAAAGTAAATACAAGTCCAAAGGGATTGAAATGAACTTAAATAAAAGTAAAGCAAGGTTCGATAAAGCTAGGGAAAGCCTTATAGGGCAGAAAAAAAATCTTATCAGATATAATTTCACTTAAGACAGTGCAGGAAGTGTTCGATGGGAATTTGTTATAGATATTTGCAGTCAGAGCTTGTCTGAAACACAGATAGGAGGTTGATTTAAATGAGCTGGAAATCGAGGCCAACTATTAAATCATACCAAGTGATGCTGGCAGAGTGTATAGGTTACAAACAATAGCAATGTAATTCCAATCAGGAGCTGTCAACTGGGAATTAGATAATGTATGTGTTTGGGAAAAGAATAGAATTCCAATCAGGAGTTGTCAACTGGGAATTAGACAGTGTATGTGTTTGGGAAAAGAATAGAATTCCAATCAGGAGTTGTCAACTGGGAATTCAGAGACTGAGAAGGATTTGATTCAAGTCTTGGCTTTGGTCTACTGTGAGATGCTTTGCAAGTGTTTGAGTCTGGGTTACTTCGAGGTTGTCGCGAGTAAGATTATTTTGAAGGTTGTTCAAAATAAGTTTGATTGATTCCTTGTTGGATCCTTAATACTGAGCTTTCTTCCTCTATTTGTAGGCTTCAAAGTCTTCAGTAAAATGAATGGCTAATTGATGGGCGCTGTTACTACAAACCATAAAGAATCCACAAGATAATGCATGCATGACTTCCAGGTTGATCAGTGGGGAGCAATGTGGTCACGAAAGCACCTTTCATCTAGTTTGAATATTGTAATTGATATGCAAATGCCCTGTAATTGGCCAACTTTGATATTTTACAATTCTATATATGCCAAAGACTGAATATTCTCTACCCAATTAGATTTCTTTATTGTTACTTGGAGTAAATTAATTTGTGACACCTGTAAAAGCATAACAGTTTGAATTGTTCTTCACCCAAAGCTCAAACGGCGCCTTTTTAATTAGTTAACACTGACTGTTAAATAATTAAATCAGTTAAGAATAGCCTTGGCATTGATGATTTTACCATGATTTGTAATTTACAAGACCATTTGGATTGGTTAAAAATACATTAATTGGTTTTTTACTCTAACTTCAGACACTTTTTGTCTGAAGTGGAACTGTAGCATCGAACACAATTCTGTCCAAAGTAACTTATGTAGTTTCGGGTACAAATCTGTCTGAAGTAATGTATTGTAGCATCAGACACTTTTGTCCGAAGCACTGGTTGACCATACGATGGTCAATGTTCGTGACTGGGTTCTGTCCAAATGGCCTAGGTCGTGGACACATTGATTGGGCCCTTTTAGACGTTGAAATGGCTCTTGGTGGTTGAGCCTTAGTTAACTAACTACGAAATTGGCCCATTAACTGTAGGAATTAAACTGTGTTAATTTTGGTCCGAACAAATGTAAACAAACCCACCACTGTCAATTGATTCAAAGATCTCATAACTTTGATTCTACCACCTCTTCTGTTAGCTCCTACATCAATCAAGAGATCAGTATCTACACTTGTTTCTAATCCCTTCTTCAGACCTCACTTATAGTACTTAACTAAATATGTGTTTGTTCCATCAGGCTCAAGCAAAGCCACCAGAAAACATATATCCCCTGTATTTGGAAGTGAATAACAAAAACAAAGTTAATAATATATGTGGTTTGGGAAGTGGTGGAATAAGAGACTCCTTTCTGATGTTAAACATGGGTTGGAGGCCAAAGGGGTTAAGTGGTGGTGGGCTCATGGAGAAGGGATGGTGGGTAAGGGGGGCTGATGACGGTGGTGGGCACGGTCCAGATTGGTTTGGCTTTATTCTCAAACCTCACTAAACCAATAAGAAAATAACAGTTCGGTTTGGTTCGGATTAGCTTAAAACCATAATGAAAACCGAACTAATCCAATCCACTTGTAATTAGTTTGGTTCGGATTGGTTTCTCTGGTTTGTGCCTAACACAAAACCATGCATTTTTCAACCTTCTCTTACATTATAATGCTAACATTTTGCCATTATATCATTCCATCAAAGGCTAACACAACAACATTCCATTTAATCAAAGGATGTCCAATTTCCAACGTGCATCAAAGTTCACAATTCCATCAAAACAAACATTCTAAAGTTCATAAGAAATGAATACAAGATGATAAAACTAAGAAATGAAAGGCTGCCCAAATACAAGTTCATAATTTCCATTTAATTAAAGGCTGCCCAGTTTCCAGCATGTCCCCATACTGCACATAAAAGCAGTTTCAATCAACACAAATTTTAGGATACAAGATTATCAAAATAAGAAATGAATAAGAAAATTACCATAACTAAAAGGTTGTGCATCAATAGAGAATCAATCAGTGAAAATGTGTGCAAGCGCATTAGCATTTGATCTCCACATTTCTATATAAGATTGATTATAAGTACGGTGAAACCAGTATCCCAATTGTTAAATCAACCATAAAGAAATCAGCATAATAAGAAATACACATAATCATATATTTAGTTTTAGCACAATAAAACTCACACGCTATAAGCAATTAATCGAGAAAAATAGATATACATAACTCAATGGTTTCGTAAAATTCCATCTCCCCAATGGTGGGCTCAACTTTTAAAGATATTGAAGTGGACTTCAACCAATTTTGTGTACAAATTAAAGACTCAACCATAGCAAGACTCAAGGAACTACGAAATGAATTAATTGTTCTCCCTCACATGCTAAAGGTAGATTCTGAGGCAACTGTAGAGACTGGAATTGCAAACACATCTCTTGCAATGGCTGCTAAAGTTGGATGTTTAGAAGCATTCACAGTCCACCAATTTAAAATATCAAACTGTTCAATATCTTGTTCTACAGCATCCAACAAATATCTATCTATCTCATGAGATAGAACCGCTGCCTCTTTATCTTCTTGTCTCTTTTTCCACTTTTCCTTATAGCCTTTTTCATATCACCTCCAAAGCTTGAGGAGTTAGAACTATCAATCACTATGCTTCTGCCAATACTTGAAGATGTAGTAGAACTACTAAAACTTTGAGTTGGATTACTAATGAAACCTGCCTCGTACAACCCATAAAGTTTAAACAAAAAGATCTCTCACACCAGCTGTCTTCTCGGCAACATAAGCATCATTTTTACACATACAAATCAGGAATATGCATTGATAAATTGTCCAATTTATACATAGGATAAAAAACAACAGCTATCAACAAGAATTGGTTCACGCTATCAAGTGATCCATAATACTTGTCATATTTCAATTTCATATTTTGAACCATGTTAGATAGAAGAGGATTGCCTACTACACTCAATTCCGCCAATTCACAATCAATTGCAAATAAGTCATGAAAAGTAGTATGAGTTGTGGCATGCAAAGTGGCACTACACCTCAAGGTGAAGTCATAAAAACGTTTTAAAAACTTGACAAAGACAACAACATTTGCCCAATAATCCTCAACTAGTGGCGTATTCCCTCTACCAAAGTAGCTTTTAAAATGTCCATCCTCATCTTCCAACCTAGAAAAAGCCTTTTTAAATTTCAAAGCAGCTTCTAGCATCATATAGGTGGAATTCCACCTAGTTGGCACATCCAAGACAACTAAGCCTTTACAATCAATCTTATCTTTTTCAATGCAAGATTTAAAAGTTTCTAATCTTTGGGGGGAAGATCTTACATACATGACAGCATCACAAATACTCTTAACAGAATTATGTAACTCTTTCAAACCATCAGTTACAATGAGATTTACAATATGAGCACAACATCTCATATGTAAGTGGACACCATCTAACAACAAACCTTCATTCAGCCAATCCTTCATCTTACTTTGCAAATAAGATACAGCTTTATCATTTGCAGATGCATTATCTAGGGTAATTTTAATTACCCTCTCTATACCCCAGTCAATCAAACACTTCTCAATAAGTCTGCCAATTGTCCTACCCTTGTGATTTTGAATTTTTCAGAAATTCAACACACGCTTATGCAACATCCAATCATCATCTAGGAAATGTGCAGTGAGAACCATATAGTTTATATTTTGACAGAAGTCCATTTGTCAATAGTAACGCAAACTTTATATGCAACTAACTTTGCTTTCAGAAGTTGCTTTTCATCATAGTAAAGTGCAAGCAAATCTCTAGCAAGTGTTCTACGAGATGGCGGTATAAACCTAAGGCATGCAACACTACAAAAGTGATGAAACCCTTCTCCATCTATGAAACTAAATGGCAACTCATCAATAACAACCATCCTAAGACATGCTTTCCTAGATTCTTCCTTATTAAATCATGTTGCCCCAAGAGCGATAATACCTCCAGATTGGTCCTTGGCAAAAGTTAGGACCTTTTGGTTTGAACTAGGCACCCTATATGGGTATTTTTTGTGTGCATAAATTAGTAATATGAGTTCTCAAATTTGATGTCCCATAAGTTGCATGATCATATTTATAGTCAGTAGTTTTGCAATACTTGCATATAACCCTAATAGGTTCAGAAGGATTACCAGTTTGATATTGTTCAAAGTGATTCCACACCTCACTTGGTTTCCTAGTCGGTTTTCTCTTTTTTGGGGAAGGTAACGGTGGAAGTTGATCAGATGCACCAGTATGAGCTTGAGAGGTCACAACCACTGGTGCAGATTCAGTCATAAGTGATGGCTGATAAGAAGCAAAACCTTCTTCCACCCCCTGGTTTACCTCCATCTATATAATTAGACAAATTGCACATTAAATAAATTGCACCTTAATCAAACAAATTGCACCTTAATTAGACAAACTGCATCTTAATCAGACAAATTGCACCTTAATCAGACAAATTGCACCTCATAATGAACATTAAATAAATTAGAAGAACTCACCATCATTGGCACTGAGTTAGCTTCATCCGTCATTGGTACTGAGTTAGCTTCATCCGTTGTTGGCACTGAGAAGAGCATGTTTGAATCAATGGAGGTTGAAGTGGGTTCGAATCAAATTTGTGACGCTGACTGTGGATGGAGGTTGAAGTGGGTTAGAATCAGATTTGTGAGCACGTTTGAATCAAAGGATAGAGGTGCGACGCAGATGATGGAGGTGCGACGTCAACGAGGTTTCTGCGATGTGAGAATGGGTTTGATTGAAGTAATGGAGGTTGTAATGGTTCAAATCAATGGTGGCTTCTCTAGGGTTCAAGTGGGTTCAGTGAGGCTCTGCGTGTTCAAGGAAGAAGAGCTGAGATGAGATGAGATGTGAGAGAGTTGGGGTCCGAAAATAAGTGGTTTCGAGTCCAATTCAGCGTGGCTGGGTGTACTTTAACACTTCTAATTAGCCACTCAGCCATTGACATATGTAAACTAATATGTATATAATTAATTAATATTTAAACGGTTTGGTTCGAATTAGCACAAATTTTCAAAGCTTAAAACTGCAGCTAAACCAAACCACTCCGGTTTGGTCTGGATTTTTAAACTGTTGACTTTTTTAAAGTCAAAACCAAACCAAATTGGAAAATACGAATTGGTTTAGCCGGATTGATGCCCACCCCTAGTAGGAATGTTGTTGTTGAAACATTAAATTTTATATTGATGTTAATGTGTTAATTATTATTTACTTAATATTAAATATTTTTTAATTAAAGAAACTGACGAAATTGATCCCTTGGATTGAATTTGTTAACTACTGTAAATACGGTGACGAATCAAAAAATTGAAATCAGTGATCAAATTTTATTTTGAGTCAAACTCCAGTGACCAAAAATGTAATTAACCCTATCATTTAATAGGTGACAAACAAAGTTTACAAGACAAGCCCATCACAATTTCCTCTTAGCCATCGTGGTTGTTTATTTAGAGTGAGCAATAATTCTATTTTTCTTAAGTCTAACAAAATTTTCACTCTAAACTCTCTACAAATTGAATGAAAAATATCAATTGAGGAATCAAAATTGTTGAGGAGCCATAATCACCAAATTCAAGCATAACATGGAATGGGAAGAGATGAAACGCGAGTAGAAAGAGATATTGCTCCACAAGAGAGGCACATGCTTACTCTAATCAAAGTTATTTTAACGAAAATTTAGGCATGTCCTTAAATTACAATGGGTATCAAGCTATATGGATAATGGATCAAATTACAACAATTAAAATAACAGGAATGAAAATAGAAATCGGGCAAACTACAAGGACCAAAAAGTTACATTTTTCCCTTTAAAAAAAAATTTTAATTCAATACTCCAAACCTCCAACGCAGCGTCGTCTTGGCGCCAAGGATCCTCTCCTTACAAAAGAGACTGGTCAAGGGGTAGCGCGGGGCGCGGGAACACAAGGCACAAGGCAGATCAACTATTATGTCTCCTCCCATCGAAACCTTAGGGTTTCGTCCTCCTCAGTTCTCCGAGGTGCCCTCATTCAACCTCTCTTCCATCCTATTTACCTTTTTGCTAATATTATATCCTTCGCAATTTGTTGGGTTTTCGAGAAATTTGAAGAAATTTGTGAACTAGTTCTTTTTATTGTTTTCTAGATTATTTTTGAAAGAGGTAGAGTGGGAAAGGGGAAATTCAAAGTCGGTTAGTTGATTTAGGGTTGCTTGCTTGTGTGGAGCGATTAGGGATTTCGAATGCTATGTAATAGAATATCTGATATTTATAACCTGATTCGTTTCTCTTCCTTGGGTTTCCCGTAATCAAATGACTTGGGTAAAGTTTGATGCTTTATTGTAGAACGAATGAGATAAGTATTTGGCTTAATCGATACGAAATTTGTTGTACAAGGTCAGAACCCAGAATGTGCATAACTTTTACTTCATTATTTGATGTATGAGTGGGCTTATAGTGTTTTCTTGTGTTTGTGGTTTATGAGGTGAAAAGGGTATCCGCTTTGTATGTTGTTTAAGCTGTTGTGAGTGTATATTTTGTACTTAAAGCCTTTCTTTGGATGTTTTTTTCTTTCGTTATGTACATGAAGATGTTAGTAGAAGTATATTACAACTGAAGACTAAAAACGGAGATTCGTTTGATCACCTGAGTGTGTGGTTTCGTTTACAAGTTAATCCATGCCACTAAGACTTGCCCTTGCTCTATATTTGAAAAGGGACATGTTGGCCTGAGGTGGCAATGTCTAGTGAAGTTTCTTTTATATACAAATGTTAAATGACAAATTCTAAATTGCATAACAGAAATGTTAAATGTTATTTGTATAATCATAATATTAATGAGTTATATATTCTTCCCCGATTACTATGTTAGTCAATGGTGTTGTTTAATTTTCTGCTAATTACAGGATTTAGCTTGGCTTCCTGGTTGGCTTCAGCAGCATCAGAAAGAACAATGGGAGGAGTGCATGAACGAGCTTAAGAGTACAAACTTAGAGCTAGGCTCCAAGGTTGGAACTAGACCTATACCAACCACATTATAACTTTTACTGCTTCTTCTAAAGCCAAGAGGAATGGATTTAATGGGTCAAGTTATTTACTCATGTGTCTTCTTTATTGCATTGGGTAGGATATGAAATTTTTTCAAGGAAACACCAATGAAGGGAAGGATGCTAATACATTGTCGAGTGAGGAAGGCAGATGCAACCGTTATCATTTTTTCTTATCTGGGGAAGAAGATTCTGCAGCTGGTTTTGCTTCATCTCCTGGAAATGTAAGTTCTTAAGGATGCTTGCCAAAACATGATTTTAAGTTTTTCATGTTCAATATATATATGTATTTTGATTTAAAACTTGCACATTAATATATTGTTGTTGATCCTGTTGCTGAATCTTCCATCTTAGTAGACACAAGATGAAACACTGATAAATGAATCAAGCTCAGCTTCCAATATTTGTGAATGAAATTGCCTAATACAAGGCCAAATGACAATTAGTGGTCTCTGTATCGGAGTTTTCATCCATATGAAATTAATGTAGGTAAGCAATATCATAAACAAAATAAACATCAAGACACTAATATTTTGTGTGGTTAGATGTTTTAACCTACATTGGCATTTGAATGACACAAGACTTAACGTTGAAGGGGGTTAAATGTAGACAGTTTTACTTTATAGTATCTACCCAGATTTAATGTATTTTCACTTCAGTTTGAGTGCATACTTAAATATAAAAAGAGAGAGTGCATAATATAGAATAACAAAAACCTAACTTTATTTAATTTTAATTATCCATTCTCAATTGAATGTTCAAAACTATGATTGTATGACAATCTAAAATGAAACCCACAATGACAAGGAAATAATAAAAGCTATTAAGGGCTACTATAAACAATAGAAAATAAATAAACTTGACAAATTATTATTTTGTGTCTATGCCTAAAATCGGTATGTAGGCCTCCATGATTCCTATCATAACACAGTAATACATATACATATATCTATTTTCTTGTATAGGTGCTTCATTTCCATCTTCATCTTTCTTCAAATGGATCTTCACAATGTAGCCCAACTCAACCTTTGGATACTTCTCTAAATCATCTTGAATTCAATAAAGTTGTGCCTGCACAACTAAATGACACCTCAGTGGGTTCCAAAGTGAAGAACTGTTCTGAAATCCACCTGAATGTTGGTGGGATAAATTCTCTACCTCTAAAGTCCATTCAAAAACCAGTAGAAGATATTGTTCCACAAGGTCCCTCCAATACAAAGATATCAGCAAGCCATTTTGGGGGAAAACTTAATGCCAATTATCTCAAAGCAGCTGACATCACTGATGCAGTTGAACTCTCCATTGCAGCATCTGAAGCATTGGTTATACATGAAACTGTGATGAGTGGGCTGGCTTCAGAAGTATTGCCAACTGCAGTGGTACTGGAAACTGCCCTTTGGGTAAAGAAAGCACGGTTGGAGTGGCTAGAAGATTCCTTAGATAGCCCAGCTGAGGAAATTGACAAGGGTGATTCTCTTTCAGACTTGGATGATTTTACGATGGCTGATGTGTATGAAGATGTAGGACTATCTCTGAGTATTCCTTCTGATGAGTGTGCTCTTGATTCAGCTATTTCTCAAGTCAAAGAGACTCCTGTCTCTGAAAATCAGTATGAGTGTGTAAATCTATCTGATTCTTTGGAGCTCAAGGCTCAACATGTCAAGTTTGATGATATCTCTATGCAAAGAGAACTAGTAGAGAATCTGGTTACGGATATCAGATCAAGAGAGGATTTGCGTCCAGCATCTGCCAATTGTGAGAACGAAGAGTTTTGTGACAAGTCTGTTCCACGTTCGAATATCTGCAGTGTGGCTAGATATGATCCTTCAGCTCTGAAAAGTTCAGATGGAATCATTATGGAACAGGTAAAAGTCATATTTATCTCTGCTCTTCGATGCTCACCCTTATTTATTATATCAAACTGGAAATATATAGAAAAATATCTTTATCCCCTCAATTAGTTTAAGGCTATGGCTTCACTTTTTTCATGTACTATGGTAAAGATATACTACGGCCTAGACGTAGGAATTTTTATCTCATTCCAATTGGGACTTATTCTGAATTTAATTGTGCAAGTTTGGCTTCCAGACAGTTGCTGCTATGGTGGATATAGCTTCTAATCAGCCTCAAGACAAAGTAAACTTTCGTCCAGATGCTTGGAATTCAGGGAATGCTAGTAAGTAAACATTTCCTTTTCCATGCACCTCCTTCTCGCCTATGATTAGGCAATACTTGTGTTTTCTTAATTTCTTATTTATTTATTTATTTTTATTTTTATTTTTATTTTGTTTTCTATGTCATGTAGAGGGAGAAGATCAGATAACTTATTTAGCTTCAGACAAATTCAGTAGCCGATGGTTAGGTGGTTGGACAGGCCAAGTATGTGCTCTAATTTTTCATTTATCTATTTGAGTTTCAATCTTCCCATCTACCCTTACCCAAATATTAAGTTTCAATCTGTCCCTTTCTGTTCCTCTTCAAATATCCCTTTGGAAAGGAAATTTCTGCTTCTCCACAGTTGAAACAAAATAGTAAAACTATCCTGAAGTGTTTTGCTGGTGAGACAAGCTTTCTCTCAGAATCTGCAGATATTGCTCCAGACGTGAACTCTTTCATGCAAGTGCATGAAATTGAGTCATATAGAACATCAGAGTCGAGCATAGCCTGTGCTGGTTTACATGACAAAGCTAATAAGGAGATATTTGTTTCTCAAGATTTGGTGAAATCGTCTAGCCTATCTTTAGTTGATCCTCTTTGTTCCGTTGTGCCGTGCAGTATTTCTTCAGAAAATACCAGTCGTACAATAGCTCAAAATCAGAC